AAGATGGCCCTGGCCAGTGCTGCTAAGTGTTTAGAGCGTTGGCCAGCATACCGAAGTTTTGCAGGTTCAATTCCCGGTCAAGGGCACATCCCTGGGTTGCAGGTTTAATCCCTGGCCGTGGTTGGGGTATGTGCAGGAGGCAACCAATCAATGTATCTTTCTCACATCAATGTTCCTCTCTTTCTATCTCTCTCCCCTCTCCCCCTGTCCCTTCCACTCTCTCTAAAATCAATGGAAAAAATATCCTCTGGTGAGGATTATCAAAATCAGACTTGGAAATACTTTTAAAAACTTAAACCTGCCTGTCTATAACTTAACTTTCCATCCTCTTGTAGTGCCCGTATCAACATGTCATTTCCTTCCCCATTCCATAAATGGGAGAACAATAGTGGTCACAAACAAAGGGAGAACTTTCCTAGCAACTGGGTCCCAATCTCTTTTGTGAGAAGATATTTTTTTAAATCTGTCTAAAGCTTTGAAGTTAGAAATCAAGTTTATAAATCTGGAAGACCAGAAAGGTTAACAAGGTTTGAATACTCCAAGCAGCAAAGAAATCTTAGCTGGAAACAGCCCCACAGCTCCCTCCCTGTAGACAGTGGTATTTTAAGTGAAGAGTTAGCAGAACAACACTTTCAACCATGCTGTACTTCTGGGAAAAATCTCAGGGGCCGTGGAAGAAGCACATGGCAGCTGTTTTCAGCCCCATATCCCTTACTGATTAAAAACTGTAAGTCACAAAGTCATGGCAACAAATTCTATCATATAGCCCATGAGCCACAATTGCCTGTCTTCCAAACTAACTGGCTGATTTCCTCCAAGTGAGGCCATTTAAACTATTTAAAACACCAATGTAAAATAAAACATCATTGTAGGTATGATTATAATTTGCTATGTTTCCTTGAAAACCCTGTTTTGGCATTCTAAGGAAAACAGCAATCCAGCACCTCTCCACTTGCTAAGGCTATAACAAGAAACTTTTATCCTATAGAATTTATAACCTAATTATTATTTTTGGTGCTTTAGCAAACTTAGAGTTCTCTTACACAGTATCATCTTTATTTAGCACTACAATGAAATTCTAGCTTCTCTCAAAATTACGTCATTAATCAAAGAAATCCTCCTGCCAAAATGCCTTTATATGTATGTGCCTATACATAAATGCTGTATTCCCCAATATTATTATAGGTAACAAGGTTTCACCTAACGCTTCATCAAACCTTGTTTTTGCTGATAGATTCTGATGCTCCAAGTAACGACTGAATGCAGGCAGACAAGGCTTCCTGTGATAATCCTTGGAACACTGCCCTCTGGTGAAATAAAAGAGAAACATCACCCTGTAGCACTTGACAAACAAAAAAAAGATCATAGGTTGAGTACAAGGAGGGATTGGAATCATTTATATTACTGGCAACATTCCTCCTGGAATTTCCTATTCTAGATCAACCTTTCTAGACCAACACAAAGTTTCGTAATTTGCATTTCTCGAAACACTCCTGCGGCCCTTTCCTGATATTTCCAGAGCACCTATTTCATGCCAAACTTTGTGCAGGTGCTAGAAGCACAACCAGTGGTAGGGAGACAAGGCTGACATAGTTCTGACCTTATAGAGCTCTCACTCCAATATGATCTCATGTTGCAGGTTGTTTTTTAAAAATTATAAAGCCAAGCCAGCCAGCGTGGTTCAGTGGTTGAGCATCAACCTGTGAGCCAGGAGGTCAAGGTTCGATTTCCGGACAGGGCACATACCTGGGTTGCAAGCTTGATCCCCAGTGAGGGGCATGCAGGAGGCAGCCAATCAATGATTCTCTCTCATCATTGATGTTTCTAATCTCTGTCTCTCCCTCTCCCTTCCTCTCTGAAATCAATAAAATAAAAATTTAAAAAAATACATCTATAAAGCCAATTTTAAAACAAACCCTCAGTAAATCTACTTCTAAAAATTTATCCCAAGTAATTAACGGATAGTGTATTGTAAGAGTCATGTATGTAGCTCTTCATCACAGTATTATTTAAAAGAACAAAAAACTGAAATAACTTAAATGTTCAATAATGAAGAGGCTGACAAATAAAATACTAGTAAACCTAAATTATAGAACACTGTGCATGAAATCAAAAAAAATGCTAAAGGAGGTCATGTAATCTTATAAAATATAATTAAGTTTTAAAAATCAGGTTACAAAATAGAATGTTAAACAAGATTCCTTTTTTTTAATCTTTATTGTTGAAAGTATTACATGTCCCCTTCTTTCCCTCATTGACTCCCTCCAGCCTGCCCTCCCCACACCCCAGGCCCTCACTGCCCTGTTGTCTGTGTCCTTGGGCCATGCATACATGCACCCACCCACCACCATTAACTTATGATTCTTAACTTAATTCTGTCATTTCTCTATCTTCCCAGAGGTGTGGCATGCTGGTCTGGGCAGGGACGCGTGTCAGTATCCTTGCTTCCCTCCCTGTATCCATTCCACCCAAGATGGACTTGAGATAGGTGAGTATGAGAAAAAAATTTATTAGGCCACAGTCCTGGGCCCTGGTCTCATTCTTTATGCTATGGTCTTTTTGGTCCCTCTCTTCTGTATCCATGTTGCTGTAGTAAGAAGAGATTAGGGCTCCCTTTGCTAGGTCACCGACCCTACTTTAAGGAAGACTGAAGACCCTCTCTTTCCCCTACTCAGCCTTCATGGGGTTTTGACTGGATTTTTCTTTCCTCGCCTTTGATGGGTAAGATAGAGAGGGATAAGATTGATTGTAGCCAGGTGAAAAAATAATAGGCAGGCCTAGGGCATAAAGTAAATGCAGGCACAGCGGTGTCCTCGGGCCTACCTGCTGTTTGGCTAAAATCCCTGTTAAGGACTTAAGAGGCTTCACTAGGGCCTGTGATGACAATGGGTTCTGTGTGGAATATACCCCCTGCACATTTCCCTTGGGAGCCCGGCTCCACTGTAGGACGTTTCAGAATCCCAGCATAATACCATCATTCAACACGCCTACTGGGGAACCTGGGGAAAAGTAATGCCAGTGTCCAAACCTCCCTCTGGAAGAGACCTCATCAGCTGGGCAAAAAGGCTGAGACATCTAACTCTGTACTCTGTAGAGGAGACCTGGCCTCACCTCTAAAAGTCCCAAAACTGGGCAAAAGGCACTTCATGGTTGAATTTCAAAATCTCCAAGCAAAAAACCCAGTAACTGTGCCGTTTACAATAGATATTGAGTAGCGTGTGCTATACTGAGCCAATGAAACAGCTGTGCAACTTTGTCAGGCCTACGCTGAGATGGAGCATCTTCATAGTGAGAGGAAGGCACATATCCCTTTGACCCATACACTTAAGAAACAGAGGCATCTGGACAACAACTACATGACTTGTATTTAGTAACTTCTCTATATGCTATTTGGGTTATAACAATCAAATTAATTTTTTTTAATGAATTAAAACCACTGAATTTTGACCTAGTTGGTATGGCTCAGTTGGTCCTATCCACCAAAAGGTGGTAGGTTCAATTCCCGGTCAGGGCACATACCCAGATTTCGGGTTCAATCCCTAATCTGTGTGGGAGGCAACCAATGTTTCTCTCTCACTTATCTCCCCCCCGCCCACCCCCCCCGGCCTTCTCCCACTCTCTAAAATCAATAAAAATTAAAAACACTGAATTTTACAAACTATTTTGGTTCAGCAACAAACACTAGCCATAAATAACTGTAGACAAATCTGATCTTTCAGGGACTGATAATCAAAATCTGAAATGCTTAAAGTAACTGTTACCTGAAATGAATGCACAGTATCAGCTGGTGCTGGAAAAAAAAAAAAAAAGTAGGGGGGAGAGGGTACTGCTAATTTCAGCAAATAACTAAAATCAGTCCATGATTAGAAAAATATGTAGTCTTAATACTACTTGTTAAGGAAAGTGACTTAAACTGAGTGCAAAACTAAATTAAAGTAGTTGCATTTAATATTTAATCTAAATACTAAATGTATATTATATCTATGTAACATTGGACAGATCACTTAACTTTCTACATCTCTTTTTCTTCACCTACAAACTAAGACAAATGAATTAAGTTGTAGTTCTGAATTTATTTGTGATTACAGACTCCTATGAGAATCAATACAAGCTATAGCCCTTCTCCTCAGAAAAACACAAATACAAGCATACATACACAATTTTACCCACAACATCAAGGTGTTCACAGACTGCCCAGAGCCCAATAGTGGAGTCTAAGGGTCTACAGAATGCTCAGGTTAAGAATTCTTAAATTATTGATCTTAAATTTTACCTAAAAAAAAAACCCATATGATTCTAATACCAAACAAACTACTGTATCAAGATCTTAAAATACACTTTAAAAATATTTCTAATGAGCCCAGCTGGCATGGCTCAGTGGTTGAGTGATGACCTATAAACCACAAGGTTCAATTCCAGGTCAGGGCACATGCCTGAATCCTCAGTGTGGGGTGTGCGGGAGGCAGCTGATCCATGATTCTCTCTCATCATTGATGTTTCTGTCTCTCTCTCCCTCTCCCTTCCTGTCTGAAATCATTAAAAATAGATTTTTAAAAAATATTTCTAGCCCTAGCCAGTTCGGCTCAGTGGATAGAGAGAGTATCAGCCTGCGGAGCAAAGTGTCCCAGATTTGATTCCAGTCAAGGGCACGTACCTTAGTTGCAGGCTCCTCCCTGGCCTGGGCTCTGGTCAGGGCTTGTGCAGGAGGCAACCAATCGATGTGTTTCTCTCACATCGATGTTTTTTCTGTCTTTCCCTCTCTCTTCCACTCTCCCTAAAAATCAATGAAAAAATATCCTCGGGTGAGGATTAACCAAAAAATAATAATATATACAGATATATATGAAAGCAATTTATAGTACAGATAAGGATAAAGCAATTTACACGTACATCTATGCATCTGTACAATTTAGAGAGACAGACAAGAGTTCGTCGAACTGTAGGATACCACATTCCATGAAGATCTGCTGGAGAAATTGTGGTCTGTGGTCTAGGAGTGAGGGATTCTGTTGAACCTAAAAACCCAAATGCAAAAGAAATCACATTACACTCACATGTAGATTTGTCTTATTTACACAGCAACTATAAACTGTTCTCATTAGCTACCATTAGCTGGAGGCATCCACTTGCTCTAACCTCATCTTCAATCAAGAATGCCATAAGAAACCTAAAACAGTGACAGATAAGATTTAATACAGTATGTACATACTAGAGGACTGATACATGGATTTGTGCACCAGTGAGGTCCCTCAGCCTGGCCTGCGGGGATTGGGCGAAAACCAGCCGGGTGCTGGTTTTGTCCAGGGTGTGTCCGGCCAATCTCGCCCAGTCCTGATCGGGGCCAATCAGGGCCGGGGAGGGACCACAGGAGGGCTCCAGGCTTGTCTGGCCTGTCTCACCCAGTCCCGATTGGCTGGACCCCAGCAGCAAGCTAACCTACCAGTCAGAGCATCTGCCCCCTGGTGGTCAGTGCGCATCATAGCAACTGGTCGAACAGTTGAACGAATGGTCAGACACTTAGCATATTAGGCTTTTATTATATAGGATGTATGTATTCATGTGTGCTCTCACATACTCAACCTAATTGCTTTTCCCAAACTGTGATCAATAATCTTTATGGAGTAGGTGAACAGTATACACGTTACAGAATACCGTGCAGTCATTAAAAAGGAGGCAGATCTATATATAGTCACATGGGAGCAAGTGGGAATTCATGGAGGTCAGGGAATGACAAACAAACAAAGCAATGTTAAACAGGAATATTAGTCAAAGCTAGTTTGTCTGACAGCTTGCCTTCCATGCTTTAAGCGGTATCATTTATAGACCTTCCCAACTCCAAAGATCTTCACTTCCATCCCTCATGACCTACCGCACAGATTTTCTTGACTTTGTTTCAAAATCACTTTCTACAGACTTTCTTATTATATTCCAAACTACCTCACCTCTTAATTGTTAAATCTTAGAATCCTACTCTCTGACCACAACATCTTCGTGATTTTCTATTTTTCACCTGTTTACTCAAAATACACTGTCGACTCCTCCTCCTTTGGCTTCAATCACACCCTAGACTCAGTGATGGCGAACCTATGACACGCGTGTCAGAGGTGACACGCGAACTCATTTTTTTGATTTTTCTTTGTTAAATGGCATTTAAATATATAAAATAAATATCAAAAATATAAGTCTTTGTTTTACTATGGTTGCAAATATCAAAAAATTTCTATGTGACACAGCATCAGAGTTAAGTTAGGGTTTTTCAAAATGCTGACACGCCGAGCTCAAAAAGTTCGCTATCACTGCACTAGACCTTTGCCTGCTTCTGACCGCTCTGGCTACTCTTTCTCAGTGAGCCCATAACATTCCTCTACCTCCATTTGCTCCTTAATGTCAGCATCTGCTGAGACACCCTCCCCAGACCTGCTATTATTACTCTACTCTCTGTCCTGGGGTGATCAACTACCTCAATCTTTATCTCTAAACCAGTCACCCTCTTTATAGCTCTAGAGTAGCCTTTCCAACAGAAATATAATGTGAGCCATAAATGTGGCATTAAATGCTAGAGGGGAAAAAGTAAAAAGAAACAAGAGCAATTAATTTTAATACATTTTACTTAATCCAATATATCTAAAATATAATCATTGTAACATGCAATCAATGTAGAAATTACTAATAAGATATTTTCCATTCTTCATTTTATATTAAGTCTTTGAAATCTGGTGTGTATTTTATGCACTTGTCCACATTCAGACTAGCCATATTTCACATATTTCATGCCAGGTGGCTACCATACTGGACAACACAGTCCTAGATCCATATAGCACAGATGCTCTGTGTTGTTCCATATGGACCTTACTCAATCTTCCTCAGCCCCACACCTAGAGTGTCATCAAATTCTATTGATTCAAACCTCAACCACATCTTTTATCTATACACTTCTCTTCATCCCCATCACACCCTGGTTCAAACCACCTTTCTTTCAAAAGAAACAACCTCCTAACCAGTCTCTACAGTTCTGCCAACAATACCTTATTATAAAGCCAGGTATCAGTTAAAGAATAGGCTTTTGTGGGGGGAAGGGAACACATACAAGGCCAGCGTTGGTAAGACAAAAATGTATTCTAGTCTCTCCAATAACTCTTGAGGAGATTTACTAGGATTAAGGTGTATACTAGGACTAAGATATACACTAGCACCAAGATATATACTGGTACCAAGAGGTACACTAGGACGTGGCATAGATTCTATTTCAGAGGACAAAATTCCAACCCCCTGTGGGTCTCTCTTCCTAGCAAGCATAATAAAATAGTTTGGGGACCACCTCACCAGTGGTCCGTGAGGTCTGAAAGGTTGGCGACCGCTGGTTTGGGGAATACCCAAGCTGCTCAGCAACCTGGATTTGGGGTACCAACTGTTTATAGAGTTGACTCAGAATACTTAACACATTGCGGGACAGTAGTTTATTGCTAGCTTTACCACGTGGCCAGATAAGTTTCTATTGAACGAGTGCAAAAAAACATTTTACATAAATGTTAAAGGCACGCTTTAAAATTAAATACCCATGGCATTTTGAAGTTATTTATTACATGTTCTTACAAGCTAGTATCTTTTTAAAGTATGATACTTTGTAAAACACTGTGTAATATGAAGCAAGAATTCTCATGATCCGTCTGCAATGTGTTCATAATGCCCTAAACCTGGGGATTTGGGAGCAGCTGGGGGTCTTTAAAGTCCATGAAGTTTCAGTGTCCCCCACTCACAGCCTGTACTATGGAGAGCTGAGCGTTAGCGTTACCTTTACATCTAGGGGTGGGGAGAAAGGATGCCTTACCCAGGATTATTATTGGACAAGTTTGCTCCTTGCATAATCCAAGTCCAAGATATCCCCTACATTTCCGTTACTTTTTTCTACCCCAGTCCCAGGCACTGGCTTTCCAGAGCAGCCACAGTCTTCCAATCCCACATGCCACCCTCCATCCCATTCTATCTTAACCTTACTTCACCTGGCTTTCTCACACTCATCTTTATAAACACTACAGCTTTCAGACACCACACCTCTCACCAAACCAACCTTCCTGCACTCAAATTTCATCTCCCCTCATAATTTTTTTCCCCTTCATAATTTTGATGGTCCTCTTCCATGGTCTAAGAGTGCCCTTTAGCCTGTCACCACTGAATTACTAGTATGTCTGTGGGTTGTCCATCTTTCCCCACTAAAGAGTGGGCTCCACAAAATCACAAGCTGTTTTTCATGCCTGGGATATGACAAGTCCTCAATCAAAGTTTTTCAAATGAATACATAAAAGTTGGAAGCTAAAATATTATAACATACCAGATTTTCTCAGATTATTAGACTCTGTTTCTTCTAACCGAACATCTGAAAATGAAGCTTCTGAAGGTACCTTCTTCTGTTCATCTTTTAAACTCTGTGCAATTTCCTACATAGAGAAATCGGAAGAAACATTAAAGTGTAGTTTTCAGCTGCTTGGCAATATGAACATAACTATTTCTATAAAGTAAGAAATACTAATAAATAAATGGACTAGTTAAGAGAACTGTACCAAAACAAAACATGGAAAAAATTAAATTAGTATATACTGTGTCTCTGTTCTCAAAAGCACATACCTAGCCTTTTCTGAACCACTAATTTCAGAACTCTACAAGATACCCAGTAAGAGCTCGAATATACAAGATTCATATAAGAAACATAATTTTCAACTTTAAGTTCAGAAACAAAGTATTCAAATTTAAAATATCATAAAGAAAACAAGGGAGGGAGGAATGGGAGAGAGCACAGATCAGGCTGAGAAACATGCATAGTCCTCACCATATCCACTTTGTGGCCTTAAGAATCAAGGTAACTCCTGCAAATGGACTATCCATCTGCTCCCTGGAGTTACTATTAGCAATCCCCAGACACCAAAAGATAATTTCTACTACAAACCTGCAGAATAATAAAAGCTGGAAAAAAACAATCCCAATACCATGTGCCCTAACCTACCATATACCTGATCCCAATAGGGCTGATTTTACATACTATTTTTTAAAGTAATATATAAATAATTAATATAACTACCCAAAATATTATAAATTTAAATAGAAGTCAGAAGAAAGAAAGTTTAGGAAACCATTATTAAACAATAAGTAACAGCATGAAACTAAATAGGCTGGCATGTTTCAAGCCTATTAGCTTTAAGACAAACATACCTATCACCACACACTTGTCAGGCTAAGCACTGAAACAGTTTAAGTTAAAATGCTGGTGAAAATCTGGAGCAACAAGAATGGGCTGGTGTATACACACATATATTTCTTTGCTATGTCAGCTGAGAAGTCCCAGAACCACCAACACCCTATAGCACAGTGATGGCGAACCTTTTGAGCTTGACGTGTCAGCATTTTGAAAAACCCTAACTTAACTCTGGTGCTGTGTCACATATGGAAATTTTTTTATATTTGCAACCATAGTAAAACAAAGACTTCTATTTTTGATATTTATTTTATATATTTAAATGCCATTTAACAAAGAAAAAACAACCAAAAAAATGAGTTCGTGTGTCACCTCTGACACGCGTGTCATAAGTTCGCCATCACTGCCCTACCCTGTGGTGTTAACCTGTGGTGT